AGAGGGAGAGAGGGAGAGAGGGAGAGAGGGAGAGAGGGAGAGAGGGAGAGAGGGAGAGAGGGAGAGAGGGAGAGAGGGAGAGAGGGAGAGAGGGAGAGAGGGAGAGAGGGAGAGAGGGAGAGAGGGAGAGAGGGAGAGAGGGAGAGAGGGAGAGAGGGAGAGAGGGAGAGAGGGAGAGAGGGAGAGAGGGAGAGAGGGAGAGAGGGAGAGAGGGAGAGAGGGAGAGAGGGAGAGAGGGAGAGAGGGAGAGAGGGAGAGAGGGAGAGAGGGAGAGAGGGAGAGAGGGAGAGAGGGAGAGAGGGAGAGAGGGAGAGAGGGAGAGAGGGAGAGAGGGAGAGAGGGAGAGAGGGAGAGAGGGAGAGAGGGAGAGAGGGAGAGAGGGAGAGAGGGAGAGAGGGAGAGAGGGAGAGAGGGAGAGAGGGAGAGAGGGAGAGAGGGAGAGAGGGAGAGAGGGAGAGAGGGAGAGAGGGAGAGAGGGAGAGAGGGAGAGAGGGAGAGAGGGAGAGAGGGAGAGAGGGAGAGAGGGAGAGAGGGAGAGAGGGAGAGAGGGAGAGAGGGAGAGAGGGAGAGAGGGAGAGAGGGAGAGAGGGAGAGAGGGAGAGAGGGAGAGAGGGAGAGAGGGAGAGAGGGAGAGAGGGAGAGAGGGAGAGAGGGAGAGAGGGAGAGAGGGAGAGAGGGAGAGAGGGAGAGAGGGAGAGAGGGAGAGAGGGAGAGAGGGAGAGAGGGAGAGAGGGAGAGAGGGAGAGAGGGAGAGAGGGAGAGAGGGAGAGAGGGAGAGAGGGAGAGAGGGAGAGAGGGAGAGAGGGAGAGAGGGAGAGAGGGAGAGAGGGAGAGAGGGAGAGAGGGAGAGAGGGAGAGAGGGAGAGAGGGAGAGAGGGAGAGAGGGAGAGAGGGAGAGAGGGAGAGAGGGAGAGAGGGAGAGAGGGAGAGAGGGAGAGAGGGAGAGAGGGAGAGAGGGAGAGAGGGAGAGAGGGAGAGAGGGAGAGAGGGAGAGAGGGAGAGAGGGAGAGAGGGAGAGAGGGAGAGAGGGAGAGAGGGAGAGAGGGAGAGAGGGAGAGAGGGAGAGAGGGAGAGAGGGAGAGAGGGAGAGAGGGAGAGAGGGAGAGAGGGAGAGAGGGAGAGAGGGAGAGAGGGAGAGAGGGAGAGAGGGAGAGAGGGAGAGAGGGAGAGAGGGAGAGAGGGAGAGAGGGAGAGAGGGAGAGAGGGAGAGAGGGAGAGAGGGAGAGAGGGAGAGAGGGAGAGAGGGAGAGAGGGAGAGAGGGAGAGAGGGAGAGAGGGAGAGAGGGAGAGAGGGAGAGAGGGAGAGAGGGAGAGAGGGAGAGAGGGAGAGAGGGAGAGAGGGAGAGAGGGAGAGAGGGAGAGAGGGAGAGAGGGAGAGAGGGAGAGAGGGAGAGAGGGAGAGAGGGAGAGAGGGAGAGAGGGAGAGAGGGAGAGAGGGAGAGAGGGAGAGAGGGAGAGAGGGAGAGAGGGAGAGAGGGAGAGAGGGAGAGAGGGAGAGAGGGAGAGAGGGAGAGAGGGAGAGAGGGAGAGAGGGAGAGAGGGAGAGAGGGAGAGAGGGAGAGAGGGAGAGAGGGAGAGAGGGAGAGAGGGAGAGAGGGAGAGAGGGAGAGAGGGAGAGAGGGAGAGAGGGAGAGAGGGAGAGAGGGAGAGAGGGAGAGAGGGAGAGAGGGAGAGAGGGAGAGAGGGAGAGAGGGAGAGAGGGAGAGAGGGAGAGAGGGAGAGAGGGAGAGAGGGAGAGAGGGAGAGAGGGAGAGAGGGAGAGAGGGAGAGAGGGAGAGAGGGAGAGAGGGAGAGAGGGAGAGAGGGAGAGAGGGAGAGAGGGAGAGAGGGAGAGAGGGAGAGAGGGAGAGAGGGAGAGAGGGAGAGAGGGAGAGAGGGAGAGAGGGAGAGAGGGAGAGAGGGAGAGAGGGAGAGAGGGAGAGAGGGAGAGAGGGAGAGAGGGAGAGAGGGAGAGAGGGAGAGAGGGAGAGAGGGAGAGAGGGAGAGAGGGAGAGAGGGAGAGAGGGAGAGAGGGAGAGAGGGAGAGAGGGAGAGAGGGAGAGAGGGAGAGAGGGAGAGAGGGAGAGAGGGAGAGAGGGAGAGAGGGAGAGAGGGAGAGAGGGAGAGAGGGAGAGAGGGAGAGAGGGAGAGAGGGAGAGAGGGAGAGAGGGAGAGAGGGAGAGAGGGAGAGAGGGAGAGAGGGAGAGAGGGAGAGAGGGAGAGAGGGAGAGAGGGAGAGAGGGAGAGAGGGAGAGAGGGAGAGAGGGAGAGAGGGAGAGAGGGAGAGAGGGAGAGAGGGAGAGAGGGAGAGAGGGAGAGAGGGAGAGAGGGAGAGAGGGAGAGAGGGAGAGAGGGAGAGAGGGAGAGAGGGAGAGAGGGAGAGAGGGAGAGAGGGAGAGAGGGAGAGAGGGAGAGAGGGAGAGAGGGAGAGAGGGAGAGAGGGAGAGAGGGAGAGAGGGAGAGAGGGAGAGAGGGAGAGAGGGAGAGAGGGAGAGAGGGAGAGAGGGAGAGAGGGAGAGAGGGAGAGAGGGAGAGAGGGAGAGAGGGAGAGAGGGAGAGAGGGAGAGAGGGAGAGAGGGAGAGAGGGAGAGAGGGAGAGAGGGAGAGAGGGAGAGAGGGAGAGAGGGAGAGAGGGAGAGAGGGAGAGAGGGAGAGAGGGAGAGAGGGAGAGAGGGAGAGAGGGAGAGAGGGAGAGAGGGAGAGAGGGAGAGAGGGAGAGAGGGAGAGAGGGAGAGAGGGAGAGAGGGAGAGAGGGAGAGAGGGAGAGAGGGAGAGAGGGAGAGAGGGAGAGAGGGAGAGAGGGAGAGAGGGAGAGAGGGAGAGAGGGAGAGAGGGAGAGAGGGAGAGAGGGAGAGAGGGAGAGAGGGAGAGAGGGAGAGAGGGAGAGAGGGAGAGAGGGAGAGAGGGAGAGAGGGAGAGAGGGAGAGAGGGAGAGAGGGAGAGAGGGAGAGAGGGAGAGAGGGAGAGAGGGAGAGAGGGAGAGAGGGAGAGAGGGAGAGAGGGAGAGAGGGAGAGAGGGAGAGAGGGAGAGAGGGAGAGAGGGAGAGAGGGAGAGAGGGAGAGAGGGAGAGAGGGAGAGAGGGAGAGAGGGAGAGAGGGAGAGAGGGAGAGAGGGAGAGAGGGAGAGAGGGAGAGAGGGAGAGAGGGAGAGAGGGAGAGAGGGAGAGAGGGAGAGAGGGAGAGAGGGAGAGAGGGAGAGAGGGAGAGAGGGAGAGAGGGAGAGAGGGAGAGAGGGAGAGAGGGAGAGAGGGAGAGAGGGAGAGAGGGAGAGAGGGAGAGAGGGAGAGAGGGAGAGAGGGAGAGAGGGAGAGAGGGAGAGAGGGAGAGAGGGAGAGAGGGAGAGAGGGAGAGAGGGAGAGAGGGAGAGAGGGAGAGAGGGAGAGAGGGAGAGAGGGAGAGAGGGAGAGAGGGAGAGAGGGAGAGAGGGAGAGAGGGAGAGAGGGAGAGAGGGAGAGAGGGAGAGAGGGAGAGAGGGAGAGAGGGAGAGAGGGAGAGAGGGAGAGAGGGAGAGAGGGAGAGAGGGAGAGAGGGAGAGAGGGAGAGAGGGAGAGAGGGAGAGAGGGAGAGAGGGAGAGAGGGAGAGAGGGAGAGAGGGAGAGAGGGAGAGAGGGAGAGAGGGAGAGAGGGAGAGAGGGAGAGAGGGAGAGAGGGAGAGAGGGAGAGAGGGAGAGAGGGAGAGAGGGAGAGAGGGAGAGAGGGAGAGAGGGAGAGAGGGAGAGAGGGAGAGAGGGAGAGAGGGAGAGAGGGAGAGAGGGAGAGAGGGAGAGAGGGAGAGAGGGAGAGAGGGAGAGAGGGAGAGAGGGAGAGAGGGAGAGAGGGAGAGAGGGAGAGAGGGAGAGAGGGAGAGAGGGAGAGAGGGAGAGAGGGAGAGAGGGAGAGAGGGAGAGAGGGAGAGAGGGAGAGAGGGAGAGAGGGAGAGAGGGAGAGAGGGAGAGAGGGAGAGAGGGAGAGAGGGAGAGAGGGAGAGAGGGAGAGAGGGAGAGAGGGAGAGAGGGAGAGAGGGAGAGAGGGAGAGAGGGAGAGAGGGAGAGAGGGAGAGAGGGAGAGAGGGAGAGAGGGAGAGAGGGAGAGAGGGAGAGAGGGAGAGAGGGAGAGAGGGAGAGAGGGAGAGAGGGAGAGAGGGAGAGAGGGAGAGAGGGAGAGAGGGAGAGAGGGAGAGAGGGAGAGAGGGAGAGAGGGAGAGAGGGAGAGAGGGAGAGAGGGAGAGAGGGAGAGAGGGAGAGAGGGAGAGAGGGAGAGAGGGAGAGAGGGAGAGAGGGAGAGAGGGAGAGAGGGAGAGAGGGAGAGAGGGAGAGAGGGAGAGAGGGAGAGAGGGAGAGAGGGAGAGAGGGAGAGAGGGAGAGAGGGAGAGAGGGAGAGAGGGAGAGAGGGAGAGAGGGAGAGAGGGAGAGAGGGAGAGAGGGAGAGAGGGAGAGAGGGAGAGAGGGAGAGAGGGAGAGAGGGAGAGAGGGAGAGAGGGAGAGAGGGAGAGAGGGAGAGAGGGAGAGAGGGAGAGAGGGAGAGAGGGAGAGAGGGAGAGAGGGAGAGAGGGAGAGAGGGAGAGAGGGAGAGAGGGAGAGAGGGAGAGAGGGAGAGAGGGAGAGAGGGAGAGAGGGAGAGAGGGAGAGAGGGAGAGAGGGAGAGAGGGAGAGAGGGAGAGAGGGAGAGAGGGAGAGAGGGAGAGAGGGAGAGAGGGAGAGAGGGAGAGAGGGAGAGAGGGAGAGAGGGAGAGAGGGAGAGAGGGAGAGAGGGAGAGAGGGAGAGAGGGAGAGAGGGAGAGAGGGAGAGAGGGAGAGAGGGAGAGAGAGAGAGAGGGAGAGAGGGAGAGAGGGAGAGAGGGAGAGAGCGCATTCTTCAGTATTCAGGGATTTACTTTTATTTGCGGGTATTGCCTATTATCGCGCTTTTTCCCGATAACACAGTTCTTCCTTCTTTTCATTACGTTTTGGGGGAAGGGCGAATGTGAGGATCATTTTAACCCCCATTAGCAACTGCCACATTACCGCACATTCACATGAAAGAAGTAATAACATTAAACTCACCCTCATTTTCGTCGGGTCACCCGTCAATGTGCCATCGATGATTAATTCTGTGTCCATGGCTTTCTCTACGAATGCAGTCAGCTTCTCGTCGTCATGACTCGGATTGCTACCTGAGGTTTCGATTAGCATGTAGAATTTGTGCCTTTTAAACAAAGGATTTTGCAAGCCCAACATATCAACGCTAATTCCCATCGTAGCATCATCCATCATTTCACAAGACGATAGGACCTCGGCTAGCTCTTTCTTCGCGAGAAGATACGTCGTGAGGACTTTATCGAAATTGTCAAGACCTAGAAATGCGAGATTGATGCTCTTAGGACGAGTAGGACAATGGATTGCAACTTTCGTCACGATTCCCAACGTTCCTTCCGAACCGATGAACAGGTTCTTTAGGTGGTACCCCGTGTTGTCCTTCTTTAGAGTGTTCATGCAGTTTATAATCTTGCCATTAGCTGTAACCTAGAGATCAAATTAGTAGAATTCACCTCGAACAATTCAAGGATACTTGTACATACTGCTTCCAATCCTAACACAGCATTGTGTAGATTTCCGTATCGTAGCAGTCGCAACCCTCCGGCATTTGTCGCGATATTACCGCCTATGAGACAGCTACCCTTGGCACCAAGATCTAATGGCATCATTAGGCCGTAATCGTCCAAATGATTGTCCAGGACGTCCAGGACACAGCCAGCCTCGCACACTAGCGCCCCTTTGGAATGAAATAGAATATGAAATAATAAACAATGAAGATGATACAATCTTAACGAGAGGCGTACAGCTTACAGAGATTTATGTTGTCCACTTTACCTGAAAGCTCGTCCGTCGAAATAATCTGATTCATTAATTTCATGGAAAGAATAATCTCGTCAAAAACAGGGACACTGCCACCGACGAGCCCAGTATTGCCGCTCTGCGGGCAAACAGCGAGGCGATTTAGATTGCAGTATTTGAGGATTTCAGAAACTTCCTTGGATGTCTTTGGTTTTAGAACCAAACGGCTGTTCCCTAAAATGTGTAATTTTCCATCAACTGGTCACATACGGGGTCGATACGATGTATCGACCCAGCATTTTCTCGCATCGAGCCAGTCAATAGGATTCATTAACCCTCAATATGCTACTGCCATCTAGCCCCAGCCATACGAACAGTTTGGTCCGAAAGGCGTTCGACTTGAGGGGTCAAGTTATCGAACCAAGAAAAATATTAGGTGTACAAATAAGTTTTAGCACACTTCGATTCCGTCTCGTGAAAATAATTCAAAGTTACCGCTTACATATGATATGGTGGGATGTGTTACGTAGTATCAAAACATAAGGGTGTCATAAACATAACCGTAAATTCTGTGAATAAAACATGTAGATCGATAAGCTACTTATTAGACACTGCATTCGCTATGAATTCCATCAAGGAAAAACTGTTAGGAAATTATGTTAATCGATTCGTTCTGTTCTTGGGGACAACATTGTATCTAAAAGTACACGTGAGTATTGGTGTAAGCGATTTAAAGAAGGTGATTTCGACGTTAGTGACCGTGAACTTACCGGAGCCCCTGTAAGTGTGGATGGCCAGGAACTGCAAGGGTTGCTGGATGAAAACCCTTGCCAAACGGAAAAACAACTTGCAATACAGCTTGGAGTAACTCAACCGGCCGTTTCCTATCGCTTAAACGCTATGGGAAAGATTCGAAAAGGAACAAAGTGCGTGCCACACTTTTTGACTTGGGAAAATAAAGATAGCCGACTTGACATATGTCTGAATCTTTACAATAAGCAACATAGAAAGTCTTTTTTGTGGAAAATTGCGACCGATGATGAAAAGTGAATTTATTTTGATAATCCAAAACACAAATATCATTGGGTTAACCCCGGCGAGCCGACGACATCGACACCGAAGCGCAATATTCACTGTAAGGAGTGATGCATGATGCTGTTTATATGGTGGGATATGAAAGGCGTACTGCATTATGAACTTTTGAAGTCTGGCGAGACAGTTACTGCCGATCGCTATCGTCGACAATTAATAAGATTGAACCAAGAAATTGAACAAAAATGTCCATTTACTGGCAAACTAAAACGTCCAGTAAAATTGCTCCATGACAACGCCAGGCCGCCTATGGGTAAACCGGTCAAAGATACGTTAATGGCTCTTGAATAGAAAGCTGTGCTACACCCGGCGTATTTACCAGACTTAGCTCCAACTAATTTTCACTTATTTCGGAAGATGCAAAACGAATTGACTGTTGTGCGATTCAAAACATTTGAAGAAGTGCAAAAATGGGTCGATAATTTCCTCGCCTCGCAAGATGAAACTTTCTTTGCGGAAGGCATCCGTGAATTATCGAACAGATGGCTGAAGGTCATTCGAAATGATGGAGATTATTTTGGTGAATAAATGTAGTTTACTTTTTTTCGAGAATGAATTTTAAAATTTTTGCAGTGTCCTAAAACTTATTCGTACACCTAATAATTTAGTGATTTATGACATCAGCTAGGTTCAGTTTCGAAATAGACTATTTATTTTAATTTTGTTGAAAATGAAAATCATTACTTCAATTGAGTAACTCATAATGATTTCAGATATTGATCAACTCGAAGCATAAAAAATCGTACCAACTGTGAAATTTTAGTATTTTTCAAGGTCTAATGTGAAGGTAACCGTAGTTCAGTTTGACTTTCTTGCTCCAAGACTATAGCTTGTTGTTCGCAACACACCCAAATAAAGAAACGTATCGTTTCGTCCATCTTCGAACATTCAATCTTTTTCAATACTAATATTCATGTTAATTGTATCTCGTTAAATAAACCATCAATTTATCGAGCCTCCATAACTAATTTATTTTACGTCAAGAATCAACGTAAACCCATTAATGTAAGCAATCAATACCGTATATTACAAGAAAAAATTGTACTAATCTCAATCTATTACAATCCCTTTGCTGTAGTAACAAATTGGTGTCACCTTTATTGTCAGCAATCTATTTCGCCAGAGATAACCTTAAGCCTAGGAACAAGGGTAATCTTTGTTTGAGATCCTAGATTATACAAATCTTTTTTTATCTCTTTAAAAGAAGATATTGCTTCAATTTTCTTTTTCTGTCGTAATTATATATGTTGTAACGTGATATATTCGTTACAAGGTCTTTGCGGGTTTTGGAGACCGTTCCGCGTGTCTGTTATTGCACCACCAGGCGGGAAGTCACCTCCGATGGCAACAGTCGAGAGAGAGATTATTAGTTTCTTGCGTTTTTGTGATTTGTTTTTTTAAATATTCCGCTGCCACGCGCATAACAGAGGAGATACTCGTCAAGGGACTTCAGGGGACCGAGGAGCTCTGGGTAATTAGTAATAATCTCTGGGGAGATTCCGGATTATCGCGAATGAGTCTTCGAGAGCCTTCGCCTTCAGTGACCACAAACGGGCCTGTACGTGTATCCTGCCGAGTGAGGGCACCACCTCCTGGACTCAAATGAGGAAGAAGTGACGCAGTGGGCAGCGAGAGATGTTTTGGTGCTGGAGAGGGATTTCCGCCAGTTGTTTGTATCGACGTTGATTACAAGCTATGATGGCACGACGGGATCAGCCATTTAAAATTATGGTTTTTGGGATCTTGCGGTTTATTTTATGCAATTTTTAATTGAGAAAAACCCTGGCCGAATGGTACAGTTCAGACACTGCGCATGCGTCACGGACCGAGGAATATCGTCATTGGCTGGACTTTCGAGATGAGGGCCAATGGGAAGCACTGCCGCGCTTCGGAAGCCGTTGCCGGGGTGTCTCGTTTCTTCGACCAGCACTTCCCGTGTGGTGGTTGCCTGGAAAGATGAAAGAGGAAATTCGACGAGAATTTGTGTTATTGAGACTGGTCTTGGAGGACTTTGCGAAAATTCGAGGGACTGGAGGCTGGAGGAAATCGTGGGCTTTACGGGAGTCTGTTGGATTACCCAAGAGATCCATGGAAGTTTAATCGAGCCGAGCAGCCAGGGCTTGTTGCAGCTGAATCGTCTCGATGACCGCGGTGGGTGTTTCATTGTTTTTTTCCCTCTTTTGGTTATTTCGAATGGGCAGTTTTCCCCTTATGTTGATGTCACGGGCATCAGAGTCCTGCAGGACTGTAAGAACTAGGAGGTTTGGTCGTTGATTATTTCTCTCTCGGCGCTTCTCTCTCGTTTAGTTCATTCGTTCGTCCATTTACGGAGCATTTGCATTTGTCGCGTAATTTTACGATATTACTGTCGCGTTCAATTATTATTCAATGTTTTTTGTTGACAATTTTCTCTAGATATCAATATTGCAGGCATTTGATTTTGTGGAAACATGCGCTCTCGTCATCGACAACATTGTATATTCAATCTAATTACGGTGGTCTCGGAACCTTGATATTGTGTCGCTTGTGTCGTTATTTGCCAGCGTAAACTTGGTTGTGTTTCGAGTCACTGGAATTTCTTGACAATTTCTCGGTTCTGCAATTTTATTTTAATTTTCCGGTTCTCTATTTTTATTTATTTTGGACTAATAATCATTGACTCCTGCCAGTTGGAATGTTCAGTCCAGCTGCAGGATTATTTGACTTTTGACTTTATATCTAACTTCAGAACATTTTATTTCTTGACGAAAGTGGTTTATTTTGTATCGAGTCTTATTCATCATTATATCGAGTCGCAAAGGGGGTTATTCGGTTTTCCACCGAATTGTTTTTCACACACACGCACATTCACGCACACTCGCTCCTCTCGCATGCTTGCATGGCTTCTCAGGACTGACCTGCGCAACCGACTCAACTGACCAGTGGCGAGAACCTCTGACACCTGAGGCGCCACTTGATGGACAGGTGTCCAGCGAACGCCCCCATTTAAATTGGGGCACGTTTGGGCCCACGATGATCGATACCTGCCACCTTGCGGTCTTTCAATGGGTCTCATTTGCATATCAGCCATCGTACTGTGTACATTTCGTTCTACGAATTATTCTATTGTTGCGCGAATTAGTTGCTCTGCGCCATTTAGTTCTTTGAACTGTGTTAATCATTTTGTGACCCGCGCTAATATTCTTGACCTTCTCAATTAATTAAATCTAACAAGTGTATTGTTTTGACTTTTTCAAATTAAATTGACTTTTGTGACCAACGCCACGTGTAGTGATTTCTAGACCTTCTCACGCTCCCAGAAAATCCGTTTTTATCTCGCCCATCGCTTCCTAATTCCACCTAAACCAGATTCGGCATCGAACAGGGGTTTTCCATCGAGTCATTTATTATTTTTATTCAGTTGATTTTTCCTTAGTCACATCCCAATTTCAGGTCTCGGGTTTGACCCCTCTCCAAGGACGAGCTACCTGGTGCATTTGAGAGCTGTCATCGGAGAAGGTTTGTCTCGGTGGTCGTTCCGAAATTAACGACCTGACCAACTTCGATTTAGGGTTTATTAGTGTCAGAGGGCTGCGGAACGGAGGACAGATGCCGTGAATATATATATATATATATACGAGGCATATTCATTTATTTTTTATTATTTTTCTACATATTTTTTCCCACTACACACTGCCCCCTAAAAGGTAAATCCCGCCACCGTTGGATACCCCTTCCCCAGATTTTTCCCCTCATCGCCCCTCTACCCCCGCCCATGGACATCACAAAGACATCAGCCGAAGGAAGACATCAGTTCCGGCCCCACCCGATCAATTGGAGAAGCCATCGCCTCCTGGAAATTCCCCATACTAGACCCCCGAATATTCAACACCAGCGATAATCCCTTGTGAGACATCCCTGGGTTGTGGTCATCGTCACCACTCACCCGTGCTGATTGGCCCTGATTGCTCCCGAATTAAAACCCGAAGGACATCGACACCTGACGAACCCCCACGNGGAAAACGCCCTGGTATTTTGAAGGAGTGCAAGGCGCCGGTGGAATTCCACGTGTTCGCCAGAGTGAAGTCCCATCGTGAGTACGAGTTACCCCCCTCATTTTCCCTCTTGACCCCACAATATTACCCTTCATACCCCCCAACGGT